CCCAGTTCCTACTGCTGGTGATACTGTGGTCCCAGTTCCTACTGCTGGTGAAACTGTGGTCCCAGTTCCTACTGCTGGTGATACTGTGGTCCCAGTTCCAACTGCTGTAATACTGTGGTCCCAGTTCCAACTTCTGGTGATACTGTGGTCCCAGTTTCTACTGCTTGTGATACTGTGGTCACTGTTCCTACTACTGGTGAAACTGTGGTCCCGGTTCCTACTACTGGTAATACTGTGGTCCTAGTTCCTACTGCCTGTGAACTGTGGTCCCAGTTTCAACTGCTGGTAATATGTGGTCCCAGTTCCTACTGCTGGTGATATTGTGGTCCCAGTTACTACTGCTGGTGATACTGTGGTCCCAGTTCCTATTGCTGGTGATACTGTGGTCCCAGTTCCAACCGCTGGTGATACTGTGGTCCCAGTTTCTACTGCTGGTGAAACTGTGGTCCCAGTTCCAACTGCTGGTGATACTGTTGTCCTGGTTCCTAGTGCTGGTGATACTGTGGTCCCAGTTCCTACTGCTGGTGATACTGTGGTCCCAGTTTCTACTGCTGGTGATACTGTGGTCCCAGTTCCTACCGCTTGTGATACTGTGGTCCCAGTTCCTATTGCTGGATAAATTGTGGTCCCAGTTTCAACCACTGTTGAAACTGTGGTCCCAGTTCCAACCACTGGTGATACTGTGGTCCCAGTTCCTACCGCTGGTGAACCTGTGGTCCTAGTTCCTACTGCTGGTGATACTGTAGTCACAGTTCCTACTGCTGGTGATACTGTGGTTCTAGTTCCTACTGCTGTTGATACTGTGGTCCCAGTTCCAACTATTTGAGATACCGTGGTCCCAGTCCCAACCTCTTGTGATACTGTGGTCCCAGTTCCTACTGTTGGTGATACTGTGGTCCCAGTTCCTACTGCTGGTGATCCTGTGGTCCCAGTTCCAACTGCTGGTGATGCTGTGGTCCCAGTTCCTACTGCTGGTGATACTGTGGTCCCAGTTCCTACTTCTGGTGATACTGTGGTCCTAGTTCCTACTGCTGGTGATACTGTGGTCCCAGTTCCTACTGCTGGTGATACTGTGGTCCCAGTTTCTACTGCTGGTGATACTGTGGTCCCAGTTCCTACTGCTTGTGATACTGTGGACCCAGTTCCAACCGCTGGTGATACTGTGGTCCCAGTTCCTACCGCTGGTAATACTGTGGTCTCAGTTCCTACTGCTGGTGATACTGTGGTCTCAGTTCCCACTGCTGGTGATACTGTGGTCCCAGTTTCTACAGCTGGTGATACTGTAGTCCCAGTTCCAACCGCTGGCGATACTGTAGTACCAGTTCCAACCGCTTGTGATACTGTGGTCCCAGTTCCTATTGCCTGTGATACTGTGGTCCCAGATCCAACTGCTGGTGATACTGTGGTCCCGGTTCCTACTGCTGGCGATACTGTGGTCCCAGTTTCAACTACTTGTGATATTGTTGTCTCGGTTCCAACTGCTGGTGATACTGTGGTCCCAGTTCCAACTGCTGGTGATACTGTGGTACTGGTTCCAACTTGCAGTGATACTGTGGTCCCGGTTCCACCCGCTTTTGGCATTGTGATCCCAGTCCCATCCATTTGTGATATTGTTGTCCTAGCCATCAGGGTTGTGTTGTCTGTGAACGGAGTTTCTGTGCTTGGTGTCTCGGTAGTTTTATTGGTTGTAATCTTTGTTGATGGTGATGGGATACCGGATGAACTTGGCGTTGATGATATTTTTGTTGCACTCGGAGTTGTGTTGCCTGTGACCACAGTTCCCGCTGTTGTGTTAGACTCAAGTGACGATGTGGCTGCTGTGCCTTGTGTTGACATTGTTGTTTCAGGCGTTGTAATATTAGACGTAGGCAACGGCGTGACCATTGTGCCTGGTGTTGTTGTTTCTGACCTTTCAGCAGGAGTCATTTCAGAACTAGGTGAAGACCCGACTACTGTCCCAGTTGCTGTTATTTGTGTCGTTTCAGATGGTGTTCCGGGAGTTGTCATATCAGTGCTAGGGGACGACATCACTTGTGTGCTTGATGTTGTTGCCTTAGATGTTCGGAAGTTGTCATTGCAGACTTAGGCAACGATGTGGTCACAGTCACGTGTGTTGTTTCGACAGTTGTCATATCAGACCCAGTTGACGTGACCACAGTCCCTGTTGTTGTTCTAAGAGTTGTAATATCAGACACAGGTAACGACGTGACCGCAGTCCCTGTTGTTGTATTGGGAGTTGTAATATCAGACACAGGTGACGACGTGACCACAGTCCCTGTTGTTGTATTGGGAGTTGTAATATCAGACCCAGGTGACGACATGACCGCAGTCCCTGTTGTTGTATTGGGAGTTGTAATATCAGACACAGGTAACGACGTGACCGCAGTCCCTGTTGTTGTATTAAGAGTTGTAATATCAGACACAGGTGACGACGTGACCGCAGTCCCTGTTGTTGTATTGGGAGTTGTAATATCAGACACAGATGACGACGTGGCTGCAGTCCCTGTTGTTGTATTGGGAGTTGTAATATCAGACACAGGTGACGACGTGACCGCAGTCCCTGTTGTTGTATTGGGAGTTGTAGTATCAGACCCAGGTGACGACGTGACCGCAATTCCTGTTGTTGTATTGAGAGTTGTAATATCAGACACAGGTGACGTGACTGCAGTCCCTGTTGTTGTATATAGAGTTGTAATATCAGACCCAGGTGACGACGTGACTACAGTCCCTGTTGTTGTATTGAGAGTTGTAATATCAGACCCAGGTGACGAGTGGCTGCAGTCCCTGTTGTTGTATTGGGAGTTGTAACATTAGACACAGGTGACGACGTGACCGCAGTCCCTGTTGTTGTATTGGGAGTTGTAATATCAGACCCAGGTGACGTGATCGCAGTCCCTGTTGCTGTATTGGGAGTTGTAATATCAGACCCAGGTGACGTGACCGCAGTCCCTGTTGTTTTATTGTGAGTTGTAATATCAGACACAGGAGACGACGTAACCGCAGTCCCTGTTGTTGTACTAAGAGTTGTAATATCAGAAACAGGAGACGACGTGACCGCAGTTCCTGTTGGAGTTGTAATATCGGATCCAGATGAAGACGTTGCTGCTGTCCCCAGTGTTGTTGGTTTTGATGCTTCGGGAGTTGTCATATCAGAATTGGGAGACGACGTGGCCACTGTGTTCGGTGTTGTTTCAGCAGTTGTCATTTCAGACCTAGGCGACGACGTGACAATAGTCCCTTGTATTGTTTTGAGAGTTGTTATTTCAGACCCAGGTAATGACGTGATCGCAGTCCCTGATGTTGTTGCCTTTGATGTCTCCATAGTTGCCATTTCAGAACTAGGGGACGTCAGGACCATTGTGCGAGTTGTTCTTTCGGAAGTTGCCATATTAGACATTGTCATTGTGTCTTTCGTTGTTGCTTTTGATGTTTCGGCAGTGGTCATATCAGAACTAAGAGATGACGTGACCGCTGTGCCTGTTGTTGTTTCCGGAGATGTACTATCAGATTCAGGAGACGACAAGAGTGCTGTGACTGGTGTTGGCATCGTTGTTTCGGGAGCTGTCGTATCAAATCTAGAAGAAGACGTGACCAGTGTGACTGGTGTTGTGTCGGGAGTTGTTACATCAGAACTAAGAGACGACGTGACCGCGATCCCTGGCGATATTTCATCAGTTGACCTAGCAGGCGTGATGACTACTGTCCCAGGTACTGTCGTTTGTGTCGTTAATGCCGTTGGTTCGACAGTTGTCATTTCAGAACTACGTGACGACGTCACCACTATGCCTGAAGTTGGTCCACGAGTTGTCACATCAGAAATAGGCGACGACGCGACCACTGCCAATAGCGTTGTTTCCTCCATTGTTTCGGCAGTTGTTACATCGGACCTAGAAGACGACGTGACCGCCGTCCCTGGAGTTGCCATTGTTGTTTCGGGAGTTGCAATGTTAGACCCAGGCGACGACGTGGCCGCTGTAAATGGTGTTGTTTCGAGAGTTGTCGTTTCTGAACTAATAGAGGACGTGGCCGCTGTAAATGGGGTTGTTTCGAGAGTTGTCGTTTCTGAACTAATAGAGGACGTGGCCGCTGTAAATGGTGTTGTTTCGAGAGTTGTCGTTTCAGAAGTAATAGAGGACGTGGCTGCTGTAAATGGGGTTGTTTCGAGAGTTGTCGTTTCTGAACTAAGAGAGGACGTGGCCGCTGTAAATGGGGTTGTTTCGAGAGTTGTCCTTTCAGAAGTAATAGAGGACGTGGCTGCTGTAAATGGGGTTGTTTCGAGAGTTGTCGTTTCAGAACTAAGAGAGGACGTGGCCGCTGTAAATGGGGTTGTTTTGAGAGTTGTCCTTTCAGAAGTAATAGAGGACGTGGCCGCTGTAAATGGGGTTGTTTCGAGAGTTGTCCTTTCAGAAGTAATAGAGGACGTGGCTGCTGTAAATGGGGTTGTTTCGAGAGTTGTCGTTTCTGAACTAAGAGAGGACGTGGCCGCTGTAAATAGTGTTGTCTCGAGAGTTGTCCTTTCAGAACTAAGTGATGGCGTAAACGCTGGGCTTGTTGTTGTTGCCTTTGTTGTTTCCGATGTTGCCGTATCTGCACGTGGCGACGACGTCGCTGCTGTCTCTGATACTGTTACTTGTGTTGTTACTTGAGTTGTCATTTCAGATCTAGAGGACGAAGGTTCTGTTGTCCCTTGTCTTGTTGCGCTTGTTGGCTCGGGAGTTGTTACTTTAGATCTAGGAAACGAAATATCAGTAGCCATTGGTACTGTTACTTGCGTTATTTCTGTATTTGACATTTCAGATCTAGAAGACAAATCGTCAGTTGTTCTCTGCTTTGTTGCCTTGGGTGTTTCTAGAGTTGTTATGGCATCTGCAGAAGATGAAATATCCGTTGACTCAGGTGTGGTCACCTTTGTTGTTTCAGTGGTTGTCACTTCAGTTTTGGGATACGAAACATCTGTTGCCCCCGATGTTGTTACTCTAGTTATTTCTGGATTAGTAATTTCAGTTTGATGAGACAAAGCGTCTGGTGTCCTTGCTGTTAACATTGTCGTCGCGGACGTTTCTGTAGACTTGGCAGATGAAACACCTGTAGTTCCTGATGTTGGCATCTGTGACGTTGGTGATGTGTTCATATCTGTTAAAGGTGACGAGGTGTCTGTTACTCTCGTTGTTGTCACCCCTGTTGTTATGGGCGTAACAACCGTTTGACCAGTAGAAACTGTTGATGTTTTAGGCGCTGATACAGTTGTTGCTTCTGAAGTTGTGTTTTCTGGTAGCGAAGTGTCTGTTTTCGTATGTGCTGTGTTTGTTGTAAAAACTGTCACGTCCGTTTGTTGAGACGACATTTCAGTTAGGCCACCTGTAGTGAACTTCGTTGGTCCTGTACGGACAGAATCTGTCAATGTTGACGAATGTACTGTTACTGTAGGGTTCGCTGTTGTTGCTGTAGGGTTCGCTGTTGTTACTGTAGGGTTCGCTGTTGTTGCTGTAGGGTTCGCTGTTGGCGTTACAGGAGTTGTAATGTCTGTCCGATGAGACGAAATGTCTGTTACTGTAGGCGTTGTCCCTAAAGTTGTAATACCTGTAATAGTAAAGATGTTGTAAGTATTCAATTGGGTTTCTTCGGATACTCTAGCAAAATGAACAATTCCACAGCCATTTTCCATGAGGAAGGAAAATCTAAAAGTACAAACAATTGAAAAAAGTAAAAGGGTTTTGATTTATCTCAAATTAAACTCGTGCAAATAACGTGCAAGCTGCAGGATGATCATATCGAAAACATTCATTATTATTCAGAATCATATTCAATTGGCACCTAACTGACCAATAGTTCCAGTGATTGTGATCCCTGGTGTTAACATTTTAGTTGTTATAGGATTGGGAAGTTCTGTTGTCTCAATGGTTGATACCAGACTTGTTTGAGGGGTGGTAATTTCTGTTGTCTCAATGGTGGATACAGGTGTTGTTACAGGAGGTGTAATTTCTGTTGTCTCATTGGTTGATGTTGGTGTTGTTACAGGGGTGGTAATTTCTGTTGTCTCAATGGTTGATACCGGTGTTGTTACAGGAGTGGTAATTTCTGTTGTCTCAATGGTTGATACTGGTGTGGTTACGGGAGTTGTAATTTCTGTTGTCTCAATGCTTGATATCGTTGTTGTAACAGGAGTGGTAATTTCTGTTGTCTCAATGGTTGATATCGGTGTTGTTACAGGAGTTGTAATTTCTGTTGTCTCAATGGTTGATGCCGGTGTTGTCACAGGGGTGGTAATTTCTGTTGTCTCAATGCTTGATGTCGTTGTTGTAACAGGACTGGTAATTTCTGTTGTCTCAATGGTTGATATCGGTGTTGTTACAGGAGTGGCAACTTCTGTTGTCTCAATGGTTGATATTGGTGTTACAACAGGAGTGGTTATTTCTGTTGTCTCAATGGTTGATACCAAAGGTGTTACAAGAGTGGTTGGAACCACTGTTGTGACAGGGGTGGTAATTTCTGTTGTCTCAGTGGTTGATACCGGTGTTGTTACAGGACTGGTAATTTCTGTTGTCTCAATGGTTGATACCGGTGTTGTTACAGGAATGGTGATTTCTGTTGTCTCAATGGTTGATATCGGTGTTGTTACAGGAGTTGTAATTTCTGTTGTTTCAATGGTTGATGTCGGTGTTGTTACAGGAGTTGTAATTTCTGTTGTCTCAATGGTTGATATAGGTGTTATTACAGGAGTTGTAATTTCTGTTGTTTCAATGGTTGATGTCGGTGTTGTTACAGGAGTTGTAATTTCTGTTGTCTCAATGGTTGATATCGGTGTTGTTACAGGAGTGGCAACTTCTGTTGTCTCAATGGTTGAAACCGATGTTGTCACAGGGGTGGTGATTTCTGTTGTCTCAATGGTTGATACCGGTGTTGTTACAGGAGTTGTAATTTCTGTTGTCTCAATGGTTGATATCGGTGTTGTTACAGGGGTGGTGATTTCTGTTGTCTCAATGGTTGAAACCGATGTTGTCACAGGGGTGGTAATTTCTGTTGTCTCAATGGTTGATATCGGTGTTGTTACAAGGGTTGTAAATTCTGTTGTCTCAATGGTTGATATCGGCGTTGTTACAGGGGTGGTAATGTCCGTTGTCTCAATGGTTGATATCAGTGTTGTTACAGGAGTTTTAATTTCTGTTGTCTCAATGGTTGATACCGGTGTTGTTACAGTAGTAATAATATCTGTAGTTGGTGCAGCGGTAATGTCTGTTGTACCCAGACTTGTCACCTCTGTGGTTGCCTGAGTGGAAATAAGTGTTGTACCCAGACTTTTCATTTCCGTGGTTGCTTCAGTTGCAATGTCTGTTGTGCCCAGACTTGTCATCTCTGTGGTTGCTTCAGTTGTAATGTCTGTTGTACCCAGACTTGTCACCTCTGTGGTTGCTTCAGTTGTAATATCTGTTGTACCCAGACTTGTTACCTCTGTGGTTGCTTCAGTTGTAATGTCTGTTGTACCCAAACTTGTTATCTCCGTGGTTGCTTCCGTTGTAATGTCTGTTGTAAGCAGACTTGTCACCTCCGTGGTTGCTTCAGTGGTTATGTCTGTTGTCCCCAGACTTGTCACCTCTGTTGTACCTGGAGTGGTGACGTCAGTTGTCCCAAGACTTGTCACCTCTGTGGTTGCTAGGGTAGTTATGTCAGTTGTCCCCAGACTTGTCACCTCTGTTGTTTCTAGAGTGGTTATGTCAGTTGTCCCCAGACTTGTCACCTCTGTTGTAACTGGAGTGGTGACGTCAGTTGTCCCCAGACTTGTCACTTCTGTTGTTTCTGGAGTGGTTATGTCCGTTGTCCCCAGACTTGTCACCTCTGTTGTACCCGGAGTGGTTATGTCTGTTGTCCCAAGACTTGTCACTTCTATTGTTTCTGCAGTGGTTATGTCTGTCGTCCCCAGACTTGTCACCTCTGTTGTACCTCGAGTGGTTATGTCAGTTGTCCCCAGACTTGTCACTTCTGTTGTTTCTGGAGTGGTTATGTCCGTTGTCCCCAGACTTGTCACCTCTGTTGTTCCTGGAGTGGTTATGTCAGTTGTCCCCAGACTTGTAACCTCTGTTGTTGCTAGAGTGGTTATGTCTGTTGTCCCCAGACTTGTCACCTCTGTGGTTGCTTCAGTGGTTATGTCAGTTGTCCCCAGACTTGTCACCTCTGTTGTACCTTGAGTAGTTATGTCAGTTGTCCCAAGACTTGTCACCTCTGTTGTACCTGGAGTGGTTATGTCCGTTGTCCCCAGACTTGTCACCTCTGTGGTTGCTTCAGTGGTTATGTCCGTTGTCCCCAGACTTGTCACCTCTGTTGTTCCTCGTGTGGTTATGTCTGTTGTCCCCAGACTTGTCACCTCTGTGGTTGCTGCAGTGGTTATGTCTGTTGTCCCCAGACTTGTCACCTCTGTGGTTGCTGCAGTGGTTATGTCTGTTGTCCCCAGACTTGTCACCTCTGTTGTACCTGGAGTGCTTATGTCAGTTGTCCCCAGACTTGTGATCTCTGTTGTTTCTGGATTGGTTATGTCTGTTGTCCCCAGACTTGTCACCTCTGTTGTACCTGGAGTGGTTATGGCAGTTGTCCCCAGACTTGTCGCCTCTGTTGTACCTGGAGTGGTTATGGCAGTTATCCCCAGACTTGTCACTTCTGTTGTTGCTTCAGTGGTTATGTCAGTTGTCCCCAGACTTGTCACCTCTGTGGTTGCTTCAGTGGTTATGTCAGTTGTCCCCAGACTTGTCACCTCTGTGGTTGCTTCAGTTGTAATGTCTGTTGTGCCCAGACTTGTCACCTCCGTGGTTGCTTCAGTTGTAATGTCCGTTGTAAGCAGACTTGTCACCTCCGTGGTTGCTTCAGTTGTAATGTCTGTTGTAAGCAGACTTGTTATCTCCGTGGTTGCTTCAGTTTTAATGTCTGTTGTAAGCAGACTTGTCATCTCCGTAGTTGCTGGCATGGTTATGTCTGTTGTCACCTCTGTTGTTCCTGGAGTGGTTATGTCTGTTGTACCCAGACTTGTTATCTCTGTTGTTTCTGGAGTGATTATGTCAGTTGTCCCCAGACTTGTTAACACTTCTGTTGCCGAAGTTGTCATTTCTGTTGTTTTTATAGTTGTCAACTTTGCTGTCTCTGTAGTAGTTACATCTATTGTGCCAAGGGTTGTTGTTGCTACGTTTGCAATGTCCGTTGTACCAAAGCTCCTCTCTTGTGTACTTCCTGGACTGGACATGCTCGTTGTCTCAAGAACCGTTACCCATATTATTTCAGGACTGTTGATATTTGTTGTCGTCACCACTTTTGATTCATCTGTTGTTTTGTCTGACTTTTTTGGGCTTGTTTTCACTGACGATTTAAGGGTCGTTGTTTTGTCAGTGAAGGTTACGTCGACTAATGTTGTTGGATCTTCTGTCGACGGTGTCGTTTTTGTTGCCTTGTCGCTTGGTAATGGTGTCGTGTTTGGTGCAGTGGTATTAATTGTGCCCTTATCGACTTTTGGTGCAGTGGATAAAGTATTTGTGTACGGTGCAGTTGATTCTAAAACAAAATAAAGACAACTAATTTTAGTTTAAGCAAGTAAAGTAAAGTAATAACTTAAGTTACTAACAATATATGATATCGGTGCACAAAATGAAAATAGGCAGCCCAAAATCACATGAAGAAGAACTGTGAAAGATGACCAAGGACAAACCCATATAAAAGGAAAGCATCAAGGTCTCTCTAGGGACAAAAAGGATAATTAATTAAGTACCTGTTGCATTTTCTGCACTGGCAAACACCAGGCCCCACCTCGAGCCGCGTTGACAAACCATACTGGCAAGGATCAGGAAGACGTAGATTCTGTACGCAACATGCAGTTTCAGCATCGTCCGCTGGGTGGTGCAGCGGCAATAGTCTGAGAACGATAGAACGACTTTCCATTAGAATAACATGAAGATATACTCTGTTGTTGTACATAATAGGAGCAATAGTTAATGTGTTCAGCCTTGAGCCTCTGGCGGACGGCTAGTTGGCCGTATGTCTTTCACGGTCGAAACAACAAACTAAACATTGCAGTTTGATTGGTCTTTTATTTGGACGGGTCTAATGTCCAAGCAGATATCAAATTAGCAAGGCAGTATCCATTTGCCACCTATAATGTCTGGCCAATTTGATGCTGTATTTTGCTGCCACCGAAACATCTGCTTGGGGATTAGAGGGGCCATCTGTTTTGCATGTGAAGGCAGTCTAAAATAGCTGTCCCAGAATGCTGGGCGTGAAACAAGGGGGAGCAAAATGGCCATCTTGCTTGCACGACTATGTGTCACTACTGTTTAAAAAACACCGTTTAAGAAATTGGGCGACCTTCTGACCATCAAGAAATACAGCCGAAGATCGTTGAGAGTCTTACGACTGATATAGGACGGCACATCAAGCCAGGGTCCACTGTTCATTATACTTGACAAAAAGAGGTAAGAGAAATTTCCCAGCACAATGACCGTGCAAACACTCTACATAGCGTCTGTCTTCTCTGCCAAGACCAGTGGAAGATTAGCTCTTCAGTGAGCTAAACTGGTTCGAGATCAAGTACTGGACCTAAGTTTTTGTAAACTATCAGAAGTTTCAAGAAGCAACCACTACTTTTTGTCAATGACAAATGGGAGATCATTTTCACGTTTTCACTTACAGAAGAGTACAAACATATCGACCGACAGGAAACGATAGCTTAACAAGATAACCCTATGATGAATCAATAATCTGACACGGTCAAAAGAAATAAATCCACAAAATACAGACAACAATAGGGATACCGATATATCTTCATGTCACTAGCATCAGTCAACATGTATTGTGGCTCGTGACATGCCACACAATACATTATAACAATGATGAACGTTTTGACAATGTCAGTCTCTGATATATGATAATCTACAGGCTTTCTGGCTCGCGTGAATCTTGCTAAGACCTCTTTTCCACTGGCTGTACCTCTGTTGAACGATCCATATTGAATTTTTGTGATCCTTGATCTCATAATTGGAATATTGGGGTATGATTTGAAACACACGAAAAGCTTTAAAGTTCTAATTACCAGTATATAAAAAATACAAACATTGATAACATTATTCCATAGCTAGATCTAAAAGCTAACTGTTTAAAAATCTACTTGGGTTTACTTCTTTAATTTAGACACTTTTTTCAGTAGTGAGGGCTTATAGTATTGCAATGCTATCAGCTGAATATACGACTTCGTTGACAGCATTGATGAAATACTTTAAGGAGAATACCCATGTGTTTTACAATGACAAGTGCATTATTTCCACAGTCAGGAGATCTGAAGTTATGCACCTGTAAGTGCGTGACAGCGTCACATCTAAGTTTGAATAATTCATGAGTTACAGACCGTACTGGGGTGGGGGGCTCAACTACCAACATTCGTGAGAAACGATAATTTTCTAGATAAGTCATTATAAGAATACAATCGAAGGACGTAAGATAACAATAATATCCGCTAACAAAGGGGAAGGCCTATTGTAATATGGGAACATCTCTTTAATGAATTACAAAGTGTTTGCACACATGCATTTCCTTTCAGCGAAAGAGAATAGTAATACCCCTATATTAATCTAGACCTGTAAATATCATGGTTGCGATCTTCTCATCATATAGAGCTATATATAACTATGTATAGAGCTATAACTATATATCTACAAATATTTAGGTGTGTGTGTGTGTGTGAGAGAGAGAGAGAGAGAGAGAGAGAGAGAGAGAGAGAGAGAGAGTGTGTGTGTGTGTGTGTGTGTGTGTGTGTGTGTGTGTGTGTGTGTGTGTGTGTGTGTGTGTGTGTGTGTGTGTGTGAGTCAGTCAGTCAGTCAGTGAGTCAGTGAGTGTGTGTGTGTGTGTGATTATCCTTAAATGTACAGCATATCAATGTACACATATTGCAAAAGGTCTGTTTCGTCTTACCTCGTATCAGAGCTATGAATACAAATTATCATGTATAGAAATTTGATATATTGCAGGGTAATCATAATGGGCGTAGCCCGTTTTCAATACCTTTTCCATACAAAATTCATACACCTAAAAATAAATTAAAACACCCAAAAATACTCCAGCAGTGTGGCTACGGTTAAGAAAATAAGCAAAACAATCTTCTTAAGTTTTGAAGATCACAGTGCTACAATGTCTCCCTACTCAGTCAGCCTTAGTAGCTAGAAAGTCTACCAGATATCCCTAGGGAACAGCCATTTATACAATCGTCATAGCAATTATGTTACCTTCGTAACAAAATAACGCAAATACCTTGAACGGAATAGCAGCCGAAGACAAGAAGCACAACTCCACTCGATTTTTACCAAGCACCTTACATCGAGAACATTTTATCGCAGCACTTCCAATACTAATTTGCATATCACCATTATGATTAACGTTCTAATGTCCATCATTCTGGGTGTCAGTAAAAGTGACAGACGTTCTATTGTGTGTAATTATCCTTAGATAAGACAGTACATCAATAATTGTCAAACTGCGATGATATTTTTGACAAGCTTTCCATTTCTGTTAGAATCGTCAACCACAAGTACGTGACAAAGACAAACTGCTAATACATCTAGATCTACATATCGTTACCAGTAAGACTCATAGACTGACGTTAAATACAATACCGTGGTGTTTTCCAGACACCTAGTACTTCAAGAAATCTCCTTAATATCCACCCTATTGGCATATTTTTGGCACTGAAATTGTACTTACAAGTACATGACAAAGACAAACTGCTAATATATCTGCATATACACGTTACCAGTAAGACTTATAGCTCCCGGTTGACATTCAATAAGATTCCACGGTCAATTCAACAGACATAATACCTTAACAGTCCCCTGTAATACTCCCTTATTGACATATTTTTGACACTGAAATTGTACTTACCTCTTGTCCAGGTGTGGCACCTGTAAGTGCTCGCTTTCGGCACTCTCTGAACACCTTGCCCTCACCTTTGTCAATGTCACGGCGACAATAGCAAATCGATAAATCATTTTACAGCACTTCGTATTCTTTGATGTGTGTGGGTTAGTGCTGTGTTCCCAAAAGGTCTGGGGGAAAAATGTTGTGTTTCTGGGTGTCCTGACTGACCCTAGCAAAAACCTGCCGACCCTAGCCTTTTTTTTTTTGCTCGCCCGCTGGCAAGTCTATAAACTTTATGATCTGATAGTTGAATTCCAAGCACTTTGAAACGCTAATTCAAGGGTTTATACCGGACCGTCAATGTACCAATAATCTACCTGAATAGACTTGCACTTAAATCATTTTACAGTACTTCGTATTCTCTGATGTGTGTGGGTTCGTGCTGTGTGCCCGTACGGCCTAGGGCAAACGTTGGGTTCCCAACTGGCCTTAGCCTTTTTTTTTCGGTCGACCGGTGGCAAGTCCATTAGATTTTTTATCTGATATCTGAATTTCAAGCACTTTGAAACCTTAATTCAAGGGTTTATACCGGACCATCATTCAATGTACCATTAATCTATCTGAATAGACCTACAGTCACGTTTGTATCTTTTTGATGTATTTTGTTACTAAACAATTTCTTTTTCTCAGGTCTCGGTCCCTCCCCATACTTGCCTCCTTAGTCAATATTGTCAATGGAAAAATCCTAGTTCACTTTAGCACTACAGCTTCGGCTATGACTTGACTGAAAAGTCATGAGTGAATGACAGTCTGTCACGTAGGGCATTTGCACATAACCTGCAACATATTATTTAGATTGATGATCAGATTGCCCCGATGACAAAACATGTATACCTTTAAATGTCTAAACTGTCTATCATGGCTGATCCACAGGAGAACACAGACATTATAAATGGTAGACAGACGTCCCTGACCTGACAAGGTAAGGCTATGTGATCATTCAGAATTTCCTACAAGCACAAGTACAAGCAAAAAAGTATCCGATATTTCAGCATACCAGTACCTTAAAGCATGCCT